ACAACTGTGGATGTGATGTAACAGTCTTGTAGATCTGAGGGTTCCCCTAGTTCACTGGCAGTCATCCTAGTTCAAACACAGAAAACCCCATACTAATATAATTTTCAACTTGTGGTTACAACAGAGTTAACCAGAGAGAGAAAGAGAGACCCTGCTATATATATCTACCTACAAATTGTTTTTCAAAACATACAATACAGATAATTCAATTATTTAGGAACTCTAAATCTAAATAAGTATAAGAAGTAATCCTTCCCATAATCAGTGAGTCAATGTTAACTTCAGAATCCAACACTCCACCTAATGAGACCATTCTCCATTAGAGGAGGTCCCCATATCCAACAGTGATGGCCTTTAATCCCAGCACTCAAGAGGCAGAGGCAGGTGGATCTCTGAGTTCAAGGCCAGCCTGGTCCACAGAGCTAGTTCCAGGACAGCCAGAGCTACACGGAGAAACCCACCTCAAAGAAAACAAAACGAAACGAAACGAAATGAAAAGGAGGAGGTCCCCAAGAAAAATGAAACCCTCCATGTTTATACAAGGAGAAATCATAAACTGAGGGGGAAACAAAGCTCATACTCTCTCAATCAAGTCATCATACTGGTTTTCACTAAGGCTGGCCTCAAACTCTCTATGCATCCGAGGCTGACCTTGAACTTCCGATCCTGCTGCCTCCACCTCCCAGGTGTTCAGAGTGCAGTCCTGCACCATCATACCTAGCTATTTTGCTGGTTTGTTTTGAAGGAAATTTGCAAATCAGCCTAAGTTTTAAAAAGCAAATCAAAATAGATGAAAACCCAGGCTAAGGTGGCCCACACCTCTGATCCCAGCACTTGGGAGCCAGAGGCAGGTGGATCTCTACAGGTTCAAGGTCACCCTGATTTACAGATCCAGTTTGAAGACAGCCAGGGTTATACAGAGAAACCCTTGCTGTACACTATGAAAATGTGTTGCTCTCATTGTTAATAAAAAGCTAACTGGCCGCTAGCTAGGCAGGATTTGGGGGACAGGTAGAATGCTGGGAAGAAGAAGGATGGGGTCATAGGAGTCAGCAAGACAAGGAGAGGTGCTGTGGGATGTCTTTCTGTAGCTGTGAATATGTGTTAATAAAGAAGCTGCTCTGGCCTATGGTGAGTCAGGTTATAGCCAGGCAGGAAATTCAGGAGAGACAGGAAGGAGAACGGCAGAGGTGGAGGAGATGCCAGCCACTGCCAGGAAAGCAAGATGTGAAAGTACTGGTAAGCCATGGCCATGTGGCAACTTATAGATTAATAGAAATGGGTCAAGTTATAAGAGCTAGCTAGCAAGAAGCCTGCCATAGGCCATGAAATTGATAATTAATATTAAACCTCTGAATGATTATTTTATAAGCAGCTGTGGGACCTTGGGGCAGTGTGGGAGTGGAGAAGCCTTCCAGCTACAGAGAGGAAACAGGAGGTGCAAGATGAAAGAGAGATAATGTCACATGGCAGGATGTAGATCAATAGAAATGGGTTAATTTAAGTTGTAAGAGCTAGTTAGTAATAAGCCTGAGCTATTGGCTGAGCATCTATAATTAATATTAAGTCTCTGTGTTGGTCATTTGGGAACTGGCAGGTGGGAAAGAAAAGTCTGCCTACAAATCCTGTCTTGAAAAAAACAAAACAAATAAAAAGCAAAAAGCAATCAATTCCTTAGAGTGATATCATCATCCCTAAGCCCAAGCATCTCCACTTCTGTAATCGATTATGTTGAAACCTATTCTCTTCTAGAAAATTCTAGGTCCTTCTACTTATGTAAAATATAAGTCAAATACACAAGCATTAGTTCATAAAATGGTGTAACTAGTCAAGCACAGAATATACCCCTACACCCCAAGTGATACCCACATAAGAGCCTTTCTGACTCTCTTTCCCTATTGCAAAGTGTACAGTGAGGAAGGATGGCTATTAGGTAGGTAACCAGATTAATACAGTGTGTGGTTAAGTCAAAATGTAGTGCAGGCTAACCTGGGATCCATCATCCTTCTGCCTCCACTTCCCAAGTGATAAGATCATACACAACCACAACTGGATTTCATATCCCTATTAGATTGTTGTTTTGTCTGGTTCTGTTTTGAGACTGGCTCTCTCTCTCTCCCCGAAGTTCTGGAGTGTAGACCAGGCTACCTCAAACTCAGAGATGCTTCTGCCTCTGTCTCTCAAGTGCTGGGATTAAAGGTATGTACCACCACACCTGGCTAGATATTTGTTTGTTTTAGGATCTCACTTTGTAGCCCTTGGCTGGCCTGGAACTTAATAATGTAGACCAGCTGCTCTTGAACTCACAGAGGTCCAACTCCCTCTGCCTACCAAGTGTTGAAATTAAAGACATGGGCCACCACACCTCTGACTGCCAACAATTTAATGCCAACCTGTGCTATACAGTGAGTTCTAAGCCAGTCAGGACTACAAAGAGATCCTATCTTAAAATAGATTAGGGGAAACCACACTCATTTCAATTAATTTCAACTTAAAATGGCCCTCATGAAAAAGAATGAGTAGAAAATAAAACCAGAAGCTAAAACTTTAATTGAATTATCCACAATGTGATATCATTCTCAGGTGTCGGGCTTAGCCTACAGTACAAAAACCATCAAGTTAGAGACATGAATACACCAAAGCCTTTCCATGCCATCATGACTGTTGACACTCCCAGGATCATTCTGTCCTTTTCTCCCCATAATGGTTGCCATCTATTACCATATTATTTACCACTGTAGAGGACAAAATATCACTCTTTTTATTTTTCATTTATGATTATTATTCCCTATGTGTGCTTGCTCATGCATACTATGGTGCATGTTCAGAGATGGAAGTGCATGCATGCTATGGTGCATGTTCAGAGGTGGAGGTGCATGCATGCCATGGTGCATGTTCAGAAGTACAGCTTGTTCTCTCTTTCCATCTTTATGTGGGTTCCAGAGGTTAAACTCAGGAAAGCAGGCTTGCATGGGGTAATCACCTTTAATGGCTAAGCCATCTCCCTAGCCCCCAGCCCAGATCCCATTTTTAATTTTTCTTTAAAACTGGGTCTTACTGCTTTGTGACCCACAGGTGCTGGAATTACAGGTGTGTGCCACCATGCCCAGTCCCAATATTTTTGTTGTTTTTATTCTTTTGAGACAAAGTCTCTCTATTGTAGTCCTGGTCCTTGATACATAGTTCAGGCTGGCTTTGAATTCACAGAGGTCCTCCTGCCTGTATCTCCCAAGTACTGGAATTAAGGCATTTGCCACCAAACCTGGCCCAATACCTTTTTATTAGCAATTGTATTTACTTGTAGAACTTCAGGACTGAATAGAATGTGAAGATCATATATCTCCCTACCTCTATTTTATTCTTAGACTGTTTTCTGTTCCCTTCTCAAGCTTGGCTTCTACCTCAAAGTTTCTCCTTCCTCAATACCTATTCCTAGCAGTTTCTCCTACCACAAACTCCTATATCCTCATTGACTCTATAAGTATCACCATCCCTATTTCAATATAGCTTTAGTCTCTCCCAACAAAGACTCTTAGTTTTAGTCCTCAATCATAACTAGTCACCTCAGTGACATGGAAAAAGGCTTCTTCAGCTAACCATTTGTTGGAGCCTGTGTCCAGCACAGGTCCCAGTTCCTAACTCATCTTTGTACTTACTTTCTTGCAGTTCCTTAATCATAGAATCAATACAGAAAGAAAACTCAGAAATAACCCAATCCATTGCTTCTCAAACTAAAAAACAATGGCAAAAGGCTGAACATTGTGGCACATGCTTTTAATCCCAGCACCAGGGAGGCAGAGGCCCGAAGATCTCATGAGTTCAAGGTCACTATGGTCTGGACGGTGTGTTCCAGAACAGCCCAAGCTACATAGTGAAACCATGTCTCAAAAGACCAAAAAAACAGGACCCAGCAGTGGGGGCCCATACCTTTAATCCCAGCACTCAAGAAGCAAAGGCTCTGTAAGTTCAAAGTCAGCCTAGTCTACAGAGAGTTCCAGGACAGCCAAGGCTACACAAAGAAATTCTGTCTAAAAAAGAAGAAGAAAGAAGAAAGGAGAAGCAAGAAGAAGGAGGAGGAGGAGGAAGGAGGAGGAAGAAGAAGAGAAGAAGAAGAAGAAGAAGAAGAAGAAGAGGAGGAGGAGGAGGAGGAGGAGGAGGAGGAGGAGGAGGAAAGAAAAAGAAAAAGAAAAAGAAAAAGAAAAAGAAAAAGAAAAGGAAAAAGAAAAAGAAAAAGAAAAAGAAAAAGAAAAAGAAAAGGAAAAAGAAAAAGAAAAAGAAAAAGAAAAAGAAAAGGAAAAGGCAGGTAGCCCGGGCTCACCTTGAGCCCACCAGGCTGTACTACAACTCAAAATACCCACGGCTCAGCCTCCTGGGTGTCAGGATCACAGCTGTGCATCACCACACCCAGTTTTCAAACTTGAGCTACATTTTACTGCATACACCGTAAGAGGTACAAACCTAACTTTACATCATCATTGCAAACATCCATACCTGAAACCCATTTCGTAAATCCGTACTCTGAGAACACAATGGAAGTTTCTCTTCTAGTCCAGCTGTCTGTTTTACTCCGTTTCCTAAACTGTCTTCACAACCCAACCTCACATACACTGGGGCTCGTAGTGGGGAGACATTAACCCGAACCCGAACTTCCCATTCACTAATGAAGAAGACGTAACTCAGTGGTGAATTAAGTTTCTCGCCCACAGAACTTCGCCTGTAAAACTCAAACTCCTGTCCGCTAAGCCACGCCAGTCTGGTTTCTACTTAAGCCCTCTGCCAGGTCACTCACTCACTCACTCAACGCTCTGTACACAAACACAACTTCAGAGCACCGACCCCAATTCCTCATCTTACGTCCTCCTCCAAGTCAGCCCCTCCAAGCCACTGCTTGCGGGTGAGCGTGCCCTCGCAGCCGCTGCTTCATGTCCCCTCGGGCCGATGCCCTCTGTCACTCTCCACCGATCGCTCCGTGCCCCCGGTAGTCACGGCTGCGTACTTACTCGGTCATGGTCCCGTCGCAGCCTCTGCCTCGTGCTCTCCGAGGCCAGAGTCCCTGGCATTTACTGCCCTGGGGTCGCGGACCCCTCGCCAGCAGCCAGCCCTGGGTCACAGTCCTCCTGGCTGTCACCGTACCTCGGTCACAGTAGCCCCGCAGCCAGCCCCTGCTTCACACTCCCCTGCCTGTCACCGACCTACTCTTCAGTCACAAGCCCCTCACGGTCCCGGCCGGCGTTTGTCCACGCAAGCAACACACTACCCCCGGGGGTTCCTTACCGCGGCTCTCCCAGGCTCCGGTCCCGGCCGATTCCTTCCTCGCGCCGCGTCACCGACTCGCGAAGTCAAATAGGTTGCGGGGAGACGCCCGGGAAACATCTGACCGGACTGCGGACCGGAAGTCCCGCCTACCGCCCGCCCCCTTGTCACTCCCTCCACCATATCCCGGGAAAACCACAGCCTGACAGCGTAGTTCCGCTTCCAGCGGGGCCGGGCCGGTGGGAGTGACGGGGCCGAGGCACCGGCGACGGGCGCGGGGGTCGGCAGCCCCGGAATACCGGATGTGTGGCGCCTCCTGCCGGCGGCGGCTCGCTGGGTGGGCCTGGGGTCTCCCGGCGTCCCTTGCGCCCTCCGCCCCTCGCACTCGTTCTTCACACGGGTGGTCCTGACTTCCCACCTCGCCGGAGGATGGGAGTCCGCTAGCCATGTCCGGGGGTGGGGGGGACGCTCGGGTCGGAGCTCTCCTCTTCCGGTTTTGACCGCGGTTGACCCACCGGAAAGGGATCCCTCGGAACCGACCGAGAAAGTAGTTGAGCCGCAGCAGAGGCGAGGGCACGGGTGGGAAAATCCGTGCATCAGTCAGGGTGTGCAGTCGAGAGGGAACTTCCCACGGTGGACTCGGGGAAGGATTTTGCTTTGTAGCGGTTTCTTTTCCTCTTGTAGGATTTGTGCGGGTTCACAGAGGCCGTAAACGGGGCCACGGATATCACGGAGCTGGAGTTACAGGCCTTTGAGCACCTTTATGGGTGCTGGGGACCTGGACGCTAGTCCTCTGATAGAAGAAGAGTAAGCGCTCTTAACTCTTAACCACGGAGCCATCGCTCCATCCTCTTTGTGGGGCGGGATGGTGACGGTGGGCTTGTTTCAAATTAAAAGTAACTTTATCAAACAGGGTCTTACACGATTTCCCAGACTGGCCTGGGGCTTGCTTTGTATCCCATACTGGCCTTGAATCTGCAGTGGGCCCCTTGCCTAAGCCTCCAGAATGCAGGCATTAGCCACCACACCCAGAGCGATGTTGTAGATGTAAGGGAAGTGGGCACATAAAGTTACAGAAGAAAGATGGGAAAAAAAAACAAAACAAAACAAAAAAACTTGAATGCGTTTTTTGTTTGCACTTTTCACTGGAAGATAACCAAGAAGAAAGAGCCTAGGCAAACGTGTGCATCTGCTGAGGTGCTTCCAAGGAGAAAAATGATTAAACTCTGACACACACACCCCTTTAAGTTCAAGTAGGTATCTGGACACAGCAGATAAAATGGCCCAAATAAAGACAGCCAGCTGGAGGAGACACCAAGGGCCTCTCTGGGGAAGATGGTCATCACAAAAATAGTACAGATTGCAGCCAACACAGAAGTCTCCAATTTTAAGGGGTTCTACTCTATATACATCTTGAAACTTCTCAGTCCCTGACACTAAACAAATGTAGTAAGAGCTCAGAGAGCATAATAAAGCCAAACCATTAAATATATAAAACCTAAACAACAGATTTTGGGTGCCAAAGTGCCATCTTATTTTTATTTGGTCAGGATATTTAACAACGTGGAAAAGTTAAGGTGTCTTTGTAGTCACAGTCACTCCTTCCAAAGATTCAATAGTAGAAACAACCAAACGCTGCTACAACACAGAATAAGCTGTCCTAGAAAACATAAAAAAGACAGAAAACAGAAATCCAGGACTTTAGTGCTAATGAGAAAGTAGGCCAGCACAGGCAATTGAAATGAACACTATACTAGTGTTATATACTAGCATAAACATACTAGACCTTTGTTAATTTTCTTTTTAACTTTTTCTTCAATTTTTGGAAAATCTTGATATGTAACCCAAAAGGCTTCAACATAGACAATCAAACTTGAAATGATCTTTCTGCCTCAGCCTTCCAAGTGTAGGGATTACAGGTATGACCCTCCATACCCTCCTTCTTGTCAACTTTCAATTAGGAAGATTTCTTCCTTTAAAAACAATGTTTCCGGGGGCTGGAGAGGTTAAGAGCTCTGGTTGCTCTTCCAGAGGTCCTGAGTTCAATCCCAGCAACCACATGGTGGCTCACAGCCATCTGTAATGATATCTGGTGCTCTCTTCTGGCCTGCAGGGATATATGCAGGCAGAATACTGTATTATGATAAATAAATAAATCTAAAAAACAAACAAACAAAAAACAATGTTTCCAAGGAGCAGCTATAAAGTTGTTTTCCTGAGGATACCTACAAGACTGCTTGCTAAAAGGTAAGTAGGAGGGGAGTTGGAAGAATGGATTAATTGAAGCAGTCTATTTGCATGTATGGAAATGCCAGTGAAATCCATTATGTATAATTAACATGCACTAATCTAATATTTGAGGTTGAGGAAGGAGGACAGAGAGTGGGAGGTCAGCCTCTGTAATTACATATATATAGTTAATTATATAATTAATTGTATATAGTTAATTATATAATTAATTATATGTATAGTTAATTATATGGTGTGATGGTGTATGGCTTTACTACCAGCTCTCAGTATACAGAGGCAGGATCTGAGCTCGAGGTCAGCTTGGTCTACATAGAAAGTTCCAGGCCAGCCAGGGTTATATAGTGACTCTTGTCTTAAAAAAATAAAAACCAGCCGGGCGGCGGTGGTGGCTCACACCTTTAATCCCAGCACTCTGGCGGCAGAGCCAGGCTGACCTCTGTGAGTTCGAGGCCAGCCTGGGCTACAGAGTGAGTTCCAGGAAAGGCTCCAAAGCTACACAGAAAAACCCTGTCTCAAAAACCAAAACAAACAAACACAACAACAGCAACAACAAAAACCAGGCTGGAGAAATGGCTCAGTGGTGAAGAACTTGTACCGCTCTTGCAGAGGACCTAACCGGTTCCCTGCACCCACATCAGGTGGCTCATAGGGGATCAATCCGATACTCTCTTCTGACCTCTGGGGGCACCTCGCATGAACATACCCACAACACACACACATATATATTTATATATACTTATAAATATATATTTAAAAAATAATTTTAAAGACAGGCAATGAGGTAAAATAATGGAAGAGAGATAAAGAATCATATTTTTAAATTAATGTGAATGAAACTTTAGGTAATGCATGTCATTACCCAGAGCAAGGACTATAGAATACTATGTAATGGTATTATAATATGGACAGGAACAGCATATTATCCTCCACTCCGGACAGAGAAGGCAGCTTCCCACATGCTAGGCAAGCTCTTTGAACTTTTTACTTTGCAACAGGATCTCACTAAATTGCCCAGGCTAGTCTTGAATTCATTCTTTGCTAAGTGAATCTCCAACTGGAGATCCTCTTGCTTTAGCCTCTTGAGTGCCTGGAACTAGAGGCCTGCTTCACCAGGCCAGCTTTACTTGTTCATCTTTTGGCTTACAAATCACAAGTGCTTTGCAGAGCCCAGTTAAACTGTAAATATTTTAAAGAACTTACTACAGGAGTTCTGGCTGACTTAGCAATTAATGGCTGTCATACCAAACTTACTCCAGCCCGGTAGCAGTGAGGAAAACAAGCTGAACTCAAGTACCTAATTATCAGCCAGAGGCCAATGCTTCGGTGGGCAGCCTCCAGTTCCTTGGCTGGGTGTGTGTGTTCTAACAACAGCATATCTGTGGTGGAAGACATGTTCCATTTTTTTTTTATTTGCATTTATTCACAGAGTGACACTTTGGTTTTGTTTGTGGGGCTTTACAGGGGTGGTTTTCAGATAGGGTCGTATGTAGTCATGTATGTAGTCATAGCCTTGGACTTCTTACCCTCCTGTCTCCAATTCCCAAGTGCTAAGATCAGAGGCACGTTCCACCACATCCACTTTAGAATGACCCTTTTATAAATCCTGGCAACTAGCAGGAGCATGTGAGAAACCGTCTACAGACTGAGAATCACTGATCCAAACTTACTGATCAAAATCTACTTGCAAAAGGCCCTGGCATCTATACTTCTAAAGAAGTTCCCTCAGTATTAGGAAACCACACCCATCTCTGGAAAGCTTACTTTCTAATATTCATGATGCAATCTCAGAATAATCCAGGGGTTTCCTTAAAGTCAATCAAAGTAACACAGCTGGAAGTGGAACCGCCTTCCTTGTTTACACAGTTCAATTTCTGTCCTGCTCTGCTAACTACGACTGCTAATTACAACCTGGGAGGACTTTAATATGGGTGATTTCTGGAAGCAAGCATCAAAGTAAGTTACCTGGAACACACGTACCAATAACTTACAGATGTTTAAATGAAACCTTGTTGTGCTTGTTTGTTTTGGGTGTCGTGTGTGTGTGTGTGTGTGTGTGTGTGTGTGTGTGTGTGTGTGTATGTTTGCTTAATACTTTTTTTTTTTTTATTTTTGAGACGGTTCTCATGTAGCCCAGGCTAGCCATGGATGACTTTGAACTCCTGATCCTTCTGTCCATACAGCCTCCCCACTCCCAGGTGCTGGGAACATTGACATACACCATTATGTCCAGTTCAGCAAAAGTGATAGGGGAAAGAAAGGATAGATGGAGTACTTTCATATTCTGTATTATAAAACACATTTGCACTCCACATTGTAGAAGGGAATCTGCATTTGGTGTGAGCACAATACACCATTCATTGTTTTTGTTTGTTTGTTTTTTGAGACAGGGTCTATATATTCCAGGCTGTACTGGAACTAGATTATAGACCAGGCTGGCCTTGATCTACCTGCATCTGCCTTCTGAGTGCTGGGATTAAAGGTGGGCACTATAATGCCCAGTTAGTTGTCATGTGTCCGTCCGTCATCCCCCCACCCACCCACCCACCCACCCAAGCTGAGGGCCGAACCCATGGCCTTGAGCTTGCTAGGCGAGCGCTCTGCCACTGAGCTAAATCCCCAACCCTAGTTGTTCTTTAAAAAAATATATATATTACTTATATGTTTGGGTGTTTTG